CAAAATTATCTCACAGCTCTCACAGCTAAACAAGTTAGGCTAAACTTTTTTTCAAAAATGCAAAATGCTCTTCCTGCCCTTGAACGTTACTGACCCACTGGGTGATTCAGGAGTAACCAGGCTAGCTCTCTGCACTTCTGCCTGTGTACCTGTGAAACAGGAACACTCACTAAAGCTGCACGGGAGCTTTTTCACTCTGTAAAGCATCTCAAGATTTGAAAACCAAAAACCATTTTTGCATCAAGAAAAATAATATCAAAACATTGTTGAAACATTGAAAATTCTAAATATCTATCATGGGTCTATCTTAACAACTGGGACTGTACCAACTTGTATTCATAAGTATGAGAACAAAGTGATTTGTTAGATCACTGCTTGAGACACAAGGAATTAGGTAGACATAAACCCATGCCCTGACTCAGGATGCAGTTACTAGGTAGTGTAGCTTCCATAGGAAAAGAAAAAACCTAACTTCAGTATAAGCAGTGCAAGGCAGGGAGAGGGAAACAGGGAACTTCTTGATGCTGTGCCACATGTAACCTTCACCTTCTAACTGTCCCCAGTGTGGTCCTCACACTGCTCTTACCTACCAAGCCGAAACCTGGATCAACCTAGTTCTCTGCATACTCTAGGAACAGCAGAACACCAAATACAAATAAAGGAGTACTGGGGAGGGAATAAGACATTTATTTAATGCATAAATTAGACATAGTTAAATGGAAATAAGAAGGTTAGGATAGCCTCGAGGCTGAGCAGGGGATATAAATTAACGAAACTGCTCAGCTGAAAGATGTGCATGAAGTCCTAAGAGTCCTTTTCATAATAAGAGGTTTTTTTTTACTTAGCCCAAGAGTAAAATAAGCAGAGAAGCAAGTATACACGTGATGCCTCCGAAATCCCGCTTAGCAAGCCCTCTGATTTGGTGTCTTGCCCTTGCAAAGGCACCTTTTGCCAGACAACCATTCGGGGTTACAGCCCTGGTGACAGGGGCCTCAGCCGGCAGCCGCTGGTGACAGGGCCCTGCCACAGCCTCGGCCGGCAGCCGCAGCCCCCTCCGGCCTGGCTGCCCAAAGCAGGAGTCGGGCAGGGGCCATCCTTGCTCAGCAGGTACCAAAACTGGGAGGCCATGTCACGGTCACCATGAACAGCTGCAGTTTCCACGGCCCTGATGAAAACTGCTCTCCCCAAACCAGTAGTATTGCAAACTAGGGAGTCTGCTTCATTTGAAAAGAAAACATCCTTCTCAATCCAATATATCTGAGACCTCCTAAACAGGCTCACACTTCGTTGAACAACTGCAGACTATTTTTGTCTCAAAGAGAAAAAAAAAAATACCAATAAAACTTTACTGCTAGTTATCATCAGAAAACATCCTTTACTCTTTAAGATATATTGTTATTTAGTATAGCATGCCTTTTATATTACACACTGATTGACAGATTAACAGAATAAAATGGCATAAGCCTTTAAATTCCATGCATGCAGTCTAATGAATCTATCAGTCCACTTAAGGCTCCCTCTCTGATGTTTTTGCAATCAGGAAACTCTCCTATGAGCTATCTTAACGACTTAAAACCACGATCCATGCTTCTAAAACACACCTAAATCTAAAGTAACACAAATCTCAATAGGAAAAACATATTCCCTCACTCAGAGAGGTAACACAGATACGCTTAGCTCAGAAGCTTAGCTTTGTTGGGGTCAGCATCGTATAATATCAAAAAGTTTATAACAATTTAGCGTAAGTAAGAAACAACCACCTAGAAGCAGCTTCAATTTAAAGTCTAGAGACTTCGTGAGTCAGAGATCGCAAGTTTAAAGCTCCCAAGACATGAAATGCTCCAGTCACTTTTTGGTTTTCTCATCATGCCATGGCAAGGAGCACTACAACACAGATTGATATTCTGTGAAAGTGTGCTGCCTTTTGTTTGTTTCCAACCCATTTTGAAGTATCTCCTTTGGTTTATTTTAGGTCTAATAACCTAAAAACACCTGAGCAACACTAAGCAACTGTTGCCTGTTCAACTTCTCCAGGCCACTCGAGATTGTGTGGACATCTACTACAAACTCTCACTCTTTGGCCCTCTCTTTTCTATGAGGAATAGTTATTGTCTGTTTAGTATCTCCTCATACCTAAGCCGTTCCAGTCTTCTCTGGTTCCTGCTGTTTGACTTTTCTAATTCTGCTACTGTCTTTCTGAGTTTATAGACTGGCCTACTGATATTTTCTCTTTTCTTTCTGCACTCTTCATGCTAACATCTACCACTCCGTTTGCCTTTTTATCTCTTCTATTCTACCATGCCTTTCCATTTCTCTCAAACTTATTCTTCACCACAGTTTCTAATAAAGAATCTCCTTCCACTTCAGGGATACTTAATAAAATAAATTTAATGCCATATATGCCACATTTCATTCCTCTCCAGTTAGTAACTCTGCAATGCCTTATTCATTGTGAAGCCTCGAGAGAATACCACATGGTCACAATATTTATTATTCCTCTTATTAATGTGTTCTCAATGTCTTCTCTAGAAGCTGTGATTTAACAGATTTAGCAGTAAAGCAAATCCAGTGCTAAGAATATTAACCTTGACCAAAGACGTTATAGCCACATGACTCTCAGTTCAGATACATTCGAAACTTTGGAATTTTTACTAGCAGCCTAAGCTATATGAAATATTATTTTTAACACCCAGCATAAAATTGAATAGTGTTCAAGTTATGCATCTTACCAACAGAAATGCATTCACATTCCCACATTTGAATCAGATGCAATCTGTATTGATGCTTGATCTAATAGCACAGAGATCCAGGAACCACAACTTCACACTCAATTCCCAAATAAAACATGTTTTATGCTAGCAACAGCCATGCTGATGTTTTAGAATGAATTGCACTTATCAAAACAGTGCATATGTTTACAAATCCCTTTGTGGACTACAAGTGCTTTTCTGTACACTATCAAAACCCAAATATTTGAATGTTTAGAAATTCAAATGTGAGATTGTCCTGAAACACTGTAGCAGTGTCACTGCATCATTTTCCTAAGAGGTGACAATATTCATGAATAACTCCCACACACACATGGACACATTATATCCATCTGTGAAATGTCCATCCACAATAGTTCCTTCCATCACAATAAGGAAAAAGTTTTACCCCATGTAATCTGTATTTACTGGAATTCCATATATTCCAAATAATCTGAACAATTTTGATGATCAAAATCTCAATAACGATTTGGTAATTGAACACACAAACACACACACAGAACACACAGTATCTTAGTCTTAATAACTATATGATATCTACCCAGTTATTAAGATGACAACGAAAAGACACCATCTTCCAGAAGAGGAACAGTTAGTTAGATACCCATAGATACCCACATTCTAAGGCAGTTCTACTTGAGAAAAATAGGCAGCATATTGCCTATTTTTGTTTTGTTTTGTCTTTAATTTTGTTTTGTCTTTACTAGCAGGCTGCTAACTTTGGGGTATCTTTTGCTACCACAGTTATCAAAAAAATGACATAGGTTGGAAGTATCTATAATATAGCCCACTTTGCTTCTACACTATTCCTCAGGACAGGAATCTTAATCAAGTTACCAAAAAAAAGGGAAAATAAATGAATCACCACAGAACACAAATATACATTTATACAAGTATTTTCAGTTTACGGGGAAGTAAACGAGATTTCTGTTTGCCGAGCATTTTTCTTGCACAGACTTACAGAAAAACAGAATCCTTCGTATGATCTGTGGAATAACCACTGTCTAATGGACTGAAGGAAAAAAAATTGACATCAATTCATATTAAGCTATCATTTTTCGAGGCGGATTTGTGAGTGAGAAACAGTTTTCACTGACATGTTCCTCAAAGAGAATCTCTTCCATTTACCGGTTTAAAAAAAAAAAAAAAAAAAGTCTTACTCAAAGGTTTTTCCCTTCTTTTACTTCACCTTTCACCTTGGAAAGAACAAGAAAATGGCCTACTAAGAAGTTTCTCCATTTCCCAGCTTTTACTTGTCTGTTTGATGATAAGGTAGAGGAAAGGAAGAGAAGACCGACAAATCCCTGAAGGCAGAATGTCTCAGAAGAAAACTGTAAAGGCAACAGTTTCTGATGCTACTTTAGCCTGATCATTCTAAACTGAATAATACCATAGTTCAAATAAATAATATCAGGTCTTACAGCTTAACAAAGAACAGAATCCAGCAAAGGAATGATACATACACATTCTCCTGAAATAATACATATTCAGCAGCCTTACAGAAGGGATCACTACTGTCAGCCACTACCCTCTCATTCTCATTTTTAAATACCTGGTTAATAGTGTTATAATCCACCTTTAGATCATGGGTTGTCCTCTTTAGTCTAGGTCAAACCTCTTTACGACTCAGAAAAGCTATTGCTTTATGGGATGATTAGCAAATGAATGGTATGTAGTTAAAGCAAAACACTGTAATATAGTACCCTAGTGTTACAATTGTTACCAAAACATCATCAAGGAACCTTTGACTGACATGATATATTCACAAAATGACCATGGCATTAATGAAATGCACCTGCTGTTACATGCGGGGGAATACCGTTATTCATTCGGTAATATATAAAAAGCTCAAACTATAATTATGTCCCCAGTTCACGAAGGTACTTATCATATATATAACTTCCACAAAATGTTGTAAATCCAATATATATACGTTGAATACAGGCTGCAATAACATATTTTCAGCCTCGGCAAGCATGTATGATTATCACCAAAAGAAGAATGCATCATAAGTTTTCATCCTTGAAAGAAATTATTTCATCTTATTCAACGGGGTTGATCAGATGTTTTGATAATAAACTGACTGCTTACAATATGGAGTATGTTTGATAAAATAAATTGTCCAGAAGGGACTCCTATTTTCTCAAAGCATATTGATTTAGGAGGTAGGCTAACAGTATGCTCTGCACTTTATAAGTTATAATTAGAGTTTCAAATGAAATATAAACTTACTTCTTTTCTGATCCTTTTTTTGTGACACAGATGGACGCGTAGGACTTGATACAGGCAGAGTGGCCGCCCTCTCTGTGCTGTTAAAGGATACGTCTGTGGACCACGTCTCCTCTTTTGCAGTAGCAAACAGCTGGGTGCTGTCTTCAGGGACCTCTCCCAAAACACCATCATCTGGAGGATCAGGATTGAGCAGTGAGCCTTGAGTTGCAGGATAAAATGAATTTCCCTGGAAATTATCTCTAAATATATTTGGGTTTTTGTTTATTAGGTCAATGTGAGATACAGGTGCAGTGGTCCAGGAGAAGGCATGCATGCCAAGATCCCCTGTGGGATCAACCTTGGAACTATTTTCATCCATGTTTGGAAAGAGAACGTCAGACATTTCAACGTCACCATTAACTGTGAAGACATCACTTCCATTTGAATAAAAGCATGTTTTTTCTAGCATCCCTTGAAGAAAGGAAAAAAAGCACCAAAATTACCATCACCCTGAAAGAACAATTGGCTTTGGAAGATTAATGTTAAGTATAATGGCATAGACAAGAAGTAATTTAAGATTAAACAAGATCAAAGAATCACTTACAGCAATAAAATAGCAGAAACGCAAACAAAGGGTATGACTGGTGTAGGATAAAAGGATAAATATACTAAAAGGCACTGCGCAACACAAATATTACCATTAATTAAAAATACCTTAAACTTATTCCTAGTAGGTTGATGAAGTCTTACAGATGGTAAGACTGACTATGGTATATAATTAATAGGGAACTCCATTATGTATTTGTTCTACCATTGTGTTAGAAAGACAAGCAATAATTTTCTTTTTATCAGACCTTCACTTGTGAAAATGCCTATCAAACAGTACTATCATCTTTAGAAAGCTAATTTTTAGCTTAATAGGAGCCAACATATTTCTGGTATATTTTACACTCACTGACATCTAAAATGGAGGTATTGTTTTCTCTGACTAGGATTACATATTTTAACGACAACTGCTAAATATATGTACTCATATTCCTTTTCATCCTCTCTAACACTAGAACTTGCATATACCTATCCCAAGTATTTCAGGTAACTGTTGTACCTATTTTTTGTTGGTTTATTATACCATAAACCAACACAGGCTTTGCTTAACTATGTGTTGAAGAAGTACGAGTTATTCTTAGTTCATAAAGCAAAAGACCTGCAAAACGCTAAGGATATACATCACACAAGCATCAGGAAATTTAAACTAAAGAGTAAGAGCATTTTTTGCTATGAACTTCCCTCATTTAAAATGCTGCTCACACATACATAATGAAAAGGATGCTAAAAGCTGTACAGCACTGATAGAACATGACAGGACTCTGCTCCCAGCAGCAACTTTTAAGCATTCCTGTGATATTAACTGCTTAAAGACAATAAAGTAAAAGCAGTGAACAACACTTCTTCTATTCAAGGCCCTCAAGACAAACACATCTGACGCATATTAGCAAGAATTCATCCCAGCTTTTCTCTGCAAACCTTTGGAGCTTGAGGAAAGTTTTTGTTTGCTTGTTTTTTAATTGCTTTAAATTGTTGCTTCATAGGCTTTCATACCTGATGTTGCATTACCATCTCATTGATGCAGGTGATTCTCGAGTCCACACAACCCCCACTGCGATATCTCCTGCCTTCATTTCCACCTGGGACAGTGTGTTTATCTAAAGAGCTCACCACGCCATCACATTTCAGGCAGGCACTGCTCCCTCCTTGCCACTCCAGGTTCTTCTCCCTGACCGAGCGCTCTGCTCTGTAAAGCCCAAGGGCCCTACACAGCCCTCAATCATTTGAGCCTCCTCAGCCCCTTCCCCCTGCTGTTACAGACTCCCTCTTCACCTGGGCTGTGGCCACGTCAAATCAAAGCACCTGGACTGCAGCTGAAGGACTAAACAGGAGGGAATCTTTATTAATCAAGGCTGCAAACAACCAACAATACCAGAAAACGTAAATTTAGACTTCTCGTTTCAAGTGAATTTGAACCAGGAATCCTAATAGGTAAGAAGAAAAAGAAACCACAAAAGTCCAGAAGAGCCCTTCTTAGAATTTCATTTGATGAACACTGAAGTGGAATTAAAAAGAAAAGCTTGTATGATCTCCGAAATATAATGGTTTTTATTGAAATAGCTACCACTTGAGATTTAGCACAGCTTTATCTATCCAGGCTGGATTATTTGGGTTCTAATAACCCTGAACAGTGATTAAGCTTTCAAATCTAACTTTCCTTGAAAGAACCCAAGGGAACTTTATATTTCTGCATATGAAGGTTTCTGGTTTTCCACCAGTGAATGTTCATAATTCACTGGGACTTAGAGGAGTTTACTATGTGCATATTACGGAAGCAACTAAAAGTCTCCCATCTGCAAGTTATTTCGGCAGCAGTTTCTCTTTGCTCGAGTCCCCTAGTCAGACAAAACAGGAAAAATGAGTGGGCTCTGATTTCACAAAAGGGGACAGTAGTAATATGATTTGCCAAAATCTTAGGCAGCATGCTCAAAAATTGTACTTGCTCATATGTAGCTTAACTTGCATTTTCTTTTCCTAAATCAAAATCTGAACCTCTAATGACTGAGGAAACCTACTTGTTTTAAATTTCAAAATTATGTAACTTTTTCTGTAGTTTTTTAAAAATTAAAGTGAACTTCTTTTCCTCCTTCAGAAAAGTGCTTTTTTTTCCATAACATAAGAATAGCTGAGGGGCTTTTGTTCACATTCTCTCTCCTCCTCTCTAGGCACTTCTCTTCTCCTCCACTCACCACAAAAATAGAAAAAGCCTGGAAAATGTCAGCCCCAAAGAGCTATGAATAATGATTTTAAATTAAAAATTATTAGCTACTTATACATAATTCAGCAGAACACTAAGCAATATATTACAAGTCTGGTAATGTTTGGGGATTTTGTTTGTTTGTTTTGTTTTTTGTTCTTTAAACTACTGCAGGAATTTAAACTACTGGATCACTAAGTACTGCAACGTTACCAATCTGATTCTATTCTTCTCCCCTTTATTTTGTTGTCTTTCTAGAATTATAAAAATAGCTATGTTTATCATCACTCATAAATCATTTGTTTCCTCTACAGAGTTACTCATCAAATGCTTGTTTGTATGTTCAACCCACCTTTCCAACAATAACATTTTTGTTCTATTTTCATAGTTTCACAGCGATAACAACCCCTCTTTGGCTCCTGACAGGTGTACCGCATAATGAACTACTTTTAGAAAAATTACCTTCCCAATTGTACTTTGGCTAATGACAGTGATTAAATTTCTTTTTCTTTAACAGTTCTTGCCCCCAAAATAATAAGCTTTACAGAGAGTCAGCACAGGGAGGAAAACATTGGTATTAATGGGAGGGAGGTTTATGATCCTGGATACATGTAACTTTTTTATTTCCATACTTTAAAATCTTTGGGTTTAAGTTTTACCTTAATCTTTCAGTTTTCTGACTAGCTGCTTAAGACTGGAGAAGTTCAAACAATCCAGTTTTTCCGCCTTTCTGGATGAGTGTTCCAGCAATTGACTATCTGGCATTAAAATAATGAGTTTTTACTGTCTTCTTTTAAAGAATACTTCTAGATAACATCAGGAAAGATGTCTCGACTGTGTCCTGGCGGACTGCACACACTGCCTGTGTTCCTGAGGGAGGTCCGCAGGCACACGCTTCTGCTTGGCACGTGGCCTACTCCACGTGACCCCTCTACTTCAACTGACTCTAGAGGGTTTTTGGATCACCTTCCTGAATCACCTTGTTCTCCCATCCTCTCATCCTTCCAGGGCACCGAAGAGCAAATTTGAATACTTGCTTCCAGGCTGGAGACTCCACTCTCTGTGTTAGGTTCATATTTTCTTTGGATCTAGTCCTTTCTCCCCTAAAATACCTCAGCATATCTTTGATTTTAACTTTAGCTTACCGGAGATTTTTTTTTTTTTAACAGCATCAAAAACCCCAGAAGAACTATTTCAATTTGAAGACTCCTAAGAAAAGTGTAATGATAAAACAAAATTTGATTAATCTGTTCTGTAATAAGAACCCATTTACTATCTATCAATGTCTGCTAACAGCTATATAACACCATATAAAATGCAGATTGTGTATTTTATGTGCACACATGTACATCATACCAAACTATTCTTCAGATTTGAGTTTATACAGAGCTGTAGGCAGTAAATCATAGGCCAGATTAGTTAAGAAATAGATATATCTGTTTTGGATTTGTGTGTATAGCTACAGCTGGACATGCCCAGGTGACAGAAATATATAGCATGTTGGCATTCATTATGTTCACTACACAAATGAGAAACTGGCACCAAGCTCCTTCAGTTCAAAGCAGTGCTTTGCCAAGAGTCTTACTGATCACTTTCCAGTTGCGATTCCCTGTTGGCAAATTGATATTTATTTGAAGATTTAAAGATAGTTATGATATCTAAAAAACAGTCACACTGTTCAGGCTATTAAACAGAGAATGTGGTTATGTGTGCTGTGGCTGATTTCTAGTGTCTCACAGCAATCAAAAAGGCCAGATTTGTTTAAAGACCTAATCAAATAGAGCCAAGAGGCTTAGCAAAGCATGTATGATGGAAGAGACTATTACACGGAGAATGAAATTTTGGTTCATTAATGTAGCTAGCTGCAATGTACCCACAGAGGTTTCTTCTGCAAGGTCAGTCCCTGTGGCTCTGTAAGCTCTGGAAGAAGGGGCACATCACTAATCGTATGGAGTTATTGTGGCATATCAAATCATTCCCCTTTTGCTGAGCTGCAGTAACAGACTTTATTCCACCCTTTCTGGGAAGCAAAGACATTACCTTAAGCAGCTCACCAGCTGCCCAAGAAATTCTTGGCTTAACAGCCAAGAAAGAGCTCAGTTGTTCGTTTTTTTTTTCCTTCTTCTTTTTACCAGGTGTCTAAGGTATTAAGAAAAAAAAAAAAAAAAAAAGGTCCCAGGTAAAAAGCACCTGGAAGTTGGCTTTGGAAGCTTTTAAGAAAGCTCAGAATGAAGCTAGACTACTAAGGTCCTGTGAAGAAAGGAGAGGCTCTCTCCCTTAGCCCAGCTATTGACAGCCAGGTAGTGAAGTCCCAGCAAAATGTCAGGATCAGATTAAAGGACTGGAGGGGAAGACAGTAAGGGTTTTTTGTTCTTTCTCTTGGCGGGTGGGGGGAGACTGCACATTAACAACTGTTGTTGTCTAACAATTCCTAGTTTTAGTCATAACACTGTGATTTCAAAATTCATTTCTTGTAGTCCCTTCATCAAGATGGGTCATATAGCTAGAAAAATTTATGAATAAAGCTTTTCATAATCTAAGAAAGTAAATGGAACATACATATAATGCTTCTAACT